AGACAAAACAGTGATCTAGGATTTCTAAAGCTTAAGTATTTAGAGGGAATGATGCTGCTCAGTGCTGTGCTCTCTGTGAAATAGCATTGCTCTGAGTAGCTACTGCCTTTTCCATTTTGTAGTATCTCAGTCAGTCTCCTACAATGTTTCAAGAATGGATAAAAGTTTTGTTTTTATTCTTGCCTATTTATCTGCTGAGGGGTGAGACTCAGAAAGAGCATGACTGGCTTGCATGGCCTTGATACATATGAAGTATTAAATGGCTTATCTCGTACCTTTCACAGCACAAAAGATGTGTAAAACCATGTATACAGACACTTCCATTAACTACTGTCATCTAGCAACAGTTTTCCTTGGGAACATAATACAGTTCAGTTTTTTTTTTGTCTTTCCACTTCTTCCTTTCTCTTTCAAAACCTCATAACATCAGGCATAAAACGGTAAGTAGTTTAAGTTTACTGATGTTCGAGGACTTTTTGGCCACAAATTTCAGATTTAGCAGATGATAGGAGGGGAGAGGGTATATCCTCAAACACGGACTATGTTACTCTGAAATTCCTTACATATTAGGCTACTATGATGATATATTTGGACCTCTGCTTAACTACTAGATATCAATGTTGCATCTGTAAACTTAGTGTTTTATTTGTAACCTTGACAGATTTATAACCAACAGATTTTAGTGCTGGCTTTAAGCCATCTTTTTTAATCGTCTTCATGTCAGGCTTCCCCAGGGATTAGCTATAGGAGCCTGTTTAAATTGTACAGCCTTCCTAGCTTTCTGCAAAGGCACAGAGCTTGTTAACACTCATCGCGGCAGATACATCCTGACAAGAAGCCGCTTCAGTTTTTCTCAGACACCTTACCCGGGTATCCACATTGCTCACCAGATGTTCTGGGATTGCATGCCGGGACATGACCTGATAGCTACCACTCAAGATTACAGCACCAGAAAAACCTAGATTGATCTACACCACAGTGTGAAATTTGTAAGCACCAGTGGAAAAGCATGCACAGCTATGCTTAAAAAGATCATTTAATTTAATGAACAAAATAACTGCGTTATATTGTGTTGTAATGCACACCGGAGTAAGGTCCACTGAAGTCTTAGAGCAGTATACTACAGAACATCTGAAATGAGGGGCTACAGATGCGTGTATGTCCTGATGTAAACAAACACATAAAAATATTGAGCTCCTAGAAAAAAAGATAATAAAGAAGAGATTTTAATCTAGCCTGATCTCTGATTTTTTCTGAGTTAATTCTTGAATCAAGATATGTCTTTTAGATCCCATTTAATTTTGATTTACAGATTTCTCATGATCCTTCCCCATTGCCATTGCAGCTAAACTGATAAAATGGCTAGTCACGTGATCTGTCAAAAGTACAAATAGCTAATCTTGTATTGCTGTTGTGAATGAGTAGTTTTAAGGTCGTACAAAGAATTACTGTGAAAGGTATTAGCAGAAACAGTTTTAATATGAATTAATGGAAAGGTGACTTAACAAAGTTCGATGGCAAGGTTCGCTCTATTGCCTACTACATGAAAGGGGTGTACAGAGGAAAAATCAAGTTAAAATTGAGCTAGAGTGGTTTACACAGAGACTGGAGGTAAAAGGGGAAAGGGTAAGGGAGACTCTCCCGTAGAGCCATGAGTGTCAGAGTAGCCCCCCTTGCTTTCTAAACTCCTTCTCAGAGAGGAGTCTAGGTGCGGCTGGATCTACGCCTAGTCCCAGACGGTCAACAGTTTATGTCTAATAGGTGTAGATACCAGGAATGGGGGATTTAGCAGTAGGATTTAGCAGTACTTTTCATCTAACAGCACTTAATCATTGACTAATTTAACATCTACAATGTAAATTAATAGGTTTTACTGTGATCCTAACAGTTACTTAAATTGTTATAGGGTTTTTGAACCAATTCACATGTGCATGCACATGAACACAAAGAGAGAGAGCAATGTATAGAGGTAAATGTATAAAGGGATAAATATATAAAGCAATAAATGTATAAAGACATAAATGTGTAAACATAGGTATACCTATTAGAAAAAATTTCCCTCGAGTTCAGTGAAATACCCATTTCAAATGCCTTAGCATTTCTCAATGGGCGAGGGTTCTTCAGCCCAGGCTTTGTTGTCTGCCTTCAGCAACGATCCTCCAAACTTCCCAAACTTGAGGGTTTTGTGAGCTCTGGGAGACTTCCCACTCCGAGGGAGACACTGGTCACAGCCCACTGCAGTCCAGGAGAGCTCAAAGGGCCTTGCTTAGGACGGCTGTTTGTAGAGTCACAAGATAATTGACTTCAGTCATTAGTAAATTTCAATTCTGGCCAGAATTCGAGTTGGTAATTGCTGGAATTCTAAAAAAAATTCTCAGTAGCAATGACACTGTGTTTTGCTTGAACTATGATTCAGATAAGGGATGTACTGAGGCCTGTTTTTCTCAGGTTTCCAAGGCCTGTTTTCTCGAGCTTCCATGCTTGGCCAGGCAACAGAAGTTGTCGGTACACTCAGTATTTTTCCATCCTTAACCATGAGAGAGATTCTGGTATGATCGAGGGGCGTTTAACTGCCCAACTCATTACACAAATGCTAAGGCATGGGTTTCTAAAATCATAGTGATGTCCAGAAAAAAAAGGGGGGGTGTGTGGAAATGCAGCACCACAATTGTTGGATTTTCTTACACGTATGTAAGGCACTGAAGTGCCTCTTATTAGCACATATATAATATTGTAATATCTGCTGCTTCCATTTTTTTAAACAAAAGCCTAGAAATAGTCTTTTTCTTATCTTCTTTGATATTCGAAGTATATCAGAGCTTACTGAAAATCAGTATTAAAAGTCCAAAAGGCTACTCAGGGTTTTTTTGAGATCTATCTGTTAACAGTTATCAAGAGCTGCTGATTAAAAGTATATGTCATTACTGGCTCCTGTTTAATATCCTGTTGAGTTACTGTTGAAATTGAAAGTATTTTATCACAGTCATGTTCTAACATCAATACTTGACCTTTCTCCAAATACAAAACTATACTGAGCACTATTCAGTATAAAAGAGGCACTTATGCTTACATAGAGCTTACACTGTTAAATGCTACTGGATTTTTATGCAATACTATTGATAACTCCACCATTGCTACATTACTAGTGGACTTGTTAACATTTCTTTTATTCTTGATATGAGAAGTGAAAGAGTACTTTTTATTACTAGTCATTCCACGGACTGATGATTATGTCCTTTGTTTCCTTCCTGCATTTTACCAATTCCTAGCTTCTAGTTTGCTATCAAATTCCTTTTTTCCCCATCTGTTATTTTGTTATCTTATTATGCTTGCTATAGTTACTTTCACATTTACTCCTAGCTAAACTGAATGTTTTTACATGCGTAATCTTTTTTTTCAGTTGTAGTTCTAGCAGAACATTATTAAATTGTTCCCAGCACCATCCATATTTCTTCCATCTAAATTGTTTCAGGGGGGTTGACTCCAAATACGTCATTCCTTTGTCATTTAAATTACAGAACAAAGATAATAATTCTCTGCATTTTAATTTTGTAATTAATTCCCCTCTCAGTCAGGATGTGAATTAAAACAGGTATTGTGCCTTGCAGTTGTCACCTGTGTGTCTGAGATTCTCCCTTTCTGTCCCTTTTAGTGCAAATTCCCACCGATGACAGTATCTTACTCTGGGAGCTGGAGAACTCGCAATTTTTTCCCAGTCTGCTCTCTTTCACTTCTTTCCAGCCAGGGCTTAGTAGTGCTCCTGGGCTGCTTTTCTGCCATATACTGCTGATTTTATCATAAAACAATACTTGTCTCCTGTAGAAAAAAGCAATACGTGCCATATCTCCCCAAGTTCTTTGCATGTACTGCCAACATTGTGATATAATAGTGTCAAGTTGGCTTTGCTGAGTTTCGATACCGTATAAAAAACACTAGCAAGTATATAAGGAACTCACCTTTTCCTAAGCTTCGTACTGTTATCTGCAGGGCTTAAAGCCATTCGATACCTGTCTTCTGGAAGTTCCTAGTCTGCATCTGAGGTAATGACTGATCTTACTTTGACTCTCATTTACTCTTTCCATAAATAAAAAATAAATTCTAAGCAGCTGGAGACTCTTCTGTTTGTGCCAGTGGAAGACTTGGGATTTTCCTGCTTTAGTTACCTAATTTCATGTCATTGTTTATTCAACACCCTGAAAATGTAACATAAGTGTAAATATTGCAGAACTTGATACAGATTCATGAACATTACCAGTGTCTGCAGTTTCATACTGACTCATGTTATTTCCAACAGAAGGAGATTAAAAAAAACAACATTATTTTTAAATCATATTCAGTGTTCAGAAACAAATGGGAATAGCTTGATGACCTTCTTAATAAGACTTTAACCTGAAATCTTTTCTCCTCTTAATTTAGGTCAAGTAAGCTCTTTAGTTTGTGTGTATGACTCTGTACCCTTATTTAATTATTCTCTGGATGTAGCTATTGTTAAGCCCCTACAGTTTAGCACAGTTCAGCATATATTTCCAGCTGCTTACAGGGAGACACTGGGGAATGTGCTTTAATATCACTTCATACTTATTAAAATACAAATTATTCCAGAGCAAGGGTATGCTACTGCCGTGAATGAATAAATTTTAATCATAAAATGTACAAGTAAAAATTCAACCTATTCAAGAATATTGTCATACAAAATCTGTATGACACTGCTTGCATCTAAATAAACATGTTGGATGAAGTATTTGCATATACTGTAGTAACGAGTATCAATGGGTATACAACTGCACAGAGTTGAAAAACAAGAAATGTTGACAGCTTTTTATTTCTAAAAGTAATTATTTCTAATATTTCTAATAATCTTTCTAGTACTTCTAATAAAATATTTCTAAATTATTTTTTATATTTCTAAAAAACTCATGACTGCCTCAAAACACTTCTTTAAATTGTGTCATAATGCTGAAAGAAATTTACTTAATCCTTTTTTTTTCCCCCTCTTGTAGATATTTTTAAATGCAGATACGATTCGCCTGGGAAATCTACCAGTGGGTTCCTTTTCCTCCTCCTCTTCCTCCTCCTCCACGTCCTCCTCTTCCTCCTCACCCAGCTCTTCAGCTCCTCGCCAGACTATCTATGAGCTCTGCGTCTGTCCCAATGGTAAACTTTATCTGTCCCCAGCAGGAGCAGGCTCCACATGTCAAACCAGTAGCAACATCTGCTTGTGGAGCTAGAAGGACTCCAATTTATCCTCACACCAGAATAGCCTTTTGTTACTATCCCTCTGCTTCACAGTTCTGCTCGGTTTCCCTTGTGACAAGTTCAACGCTTCAAACGGCCTGCAGAGCAACTTCTTCCAGTGTAAGCAGGAATACATCGCTGCCTTCTCTTGTGGTTTACGTTGCCACTCAACATAGAGATGGGAGTGAGATATTCAGAAATCAAAGTATTCTTCATCAGGAAACCTGGAACATAATATCACCTTTTGTCCAAAAGGGAGAATAACACAGGTGCCTTTGCTACATGAAGTGAAGCACATAGTTTTAGATTTTTGCAGGACCTGGATATGAACTGCACATATATATATATACACAGTACATAAACAAATTTGCCCAGAATCTGATGGTGAGATGAATTGGTTCCCCCTGTATGATAAATAACTTTACTGTCTGAAAGCACAATTTTCCATTCATCTTTTTGGATGTAAACTTTTATCCCTGAATTTTAAAATTTTGAAGCATTGTGTGATGCTCGCTTTACTAAACAATTAAATTCAGTAAATGGTTTTTAACACAAAAAGAGACAGAATCCCTCCCTGAGTTTCGTTTCTTTAAAAATGTGTTGTTACTCTTTGTCTACTAAGTCTAGGGTTTTGTACACTAGGTAAATTTTGGAAGTGCTCAGCAATATCACTTTTCAAGGTTAAAAAGACATCTGCTTCTATTTGTCAGATCTGAATGGCCTTATATAGTATTTTTGTGGCTACTGCATGTGAAGCAATTTCTTTAAGTAGAACATACAGTTTCTGGGAAAGAAGAACATGATAAAGAGGGAAATACTGATGATATGTTTGTTGATCAGTGTATTGCTCTTCACAAGGTATTTATAATTGGCAAATGGAAAAACGAGAAAATCTTCAAAGGTACATCTTGTCCGTTTTCTAGCTATGTCAAACTGCTGCCATTTGAACACAGTACAAATGTTAGTACTGTGTAATGCTGAGAAGCAATGCACTAACAACTGGTACGACATTCACATTTATTATTCTCTTTTGTTTGCCATCTGATGCTAAGGTTTTCAAAGTAATAATGATATATATAAAAACACATATTAAATGACATTCAATATTAAAAAGTACATTGATATTACATTGAGTTTATCAGGTCTGTGTTTAAATTATGCACCCCCATTTGCACTCAGATCTCACTACTGACTTCCTTTTTTGACAAGTTTGATATGGGATTTCTTTCTTCTATCAATGTTCATAGTTGTTTGCCTTGGTTGGTAATTGAAATCTTATAAAAACTGCTTTGGTATGCTGCTAGTAAAGTTATCGCAACATTGATTAACAAGAGTATCTTGGAACTTGCAGAACCCAGGAATGTAAAACAGTATAAAAATGTTTCCTATTGTGGAAGATGGCTTGATTACATGAGGTAAGTGTGTTTTTTAATTCTATCCTTTAAATTACATCACTTAGCATGTAGCTTTAGAGGCTTCTGAATGTAAGATCACCAGTGCAATGACGACATTTTCATGGTAACTCTAAAGTCTGAGCAGACAGTACAAGGTGGGTATTTCTACGCAATATTTTTTTTTCTTAGAGAAAAAAAAAGAAAATGAGCAAACTAATACTGTGATTACCTTTGTATTTTATTACCACCTAATAAAGCTGATTTTGTTTTCACTTCAGGTGAAATTCACTCCTATGCAGAAAACCAGCACAAGACATGTCCACAGCTTGACTGGTGCTTGCCTTTCTGTTGGCTCTCTTCAGAGGTGTGAATTTCACCCCATAGCAAGACTTCTATATTTGCTATTTCTACTAGTTAAATGAAGACTTTAAACTGATTATTTTATTTCTTCAAAAGAAGGTTGTTAATAGCTGATTTGTTATTTCTTTGAGAATTTTGTTCTTTCACTTGGAAACAAAATATATTAGAAAATATTGCACAAAAATATATTAGAAGCCTGAGGATTTCTAGTAAGAGGGGCAGAAAAAGATACAGATGACAAAGAAGGTGATAATAAAACATTAGAACATGTAACCATACAATATACCTTTTGGGAAATGGATGTCTTTTATGCACACAAGTAATAGAATGGTAGTGTGAAAGTCATATGGATAAATAGTATTTCATGAGAAAAAGTATATAGAGCTGTATGAGGACACATCTATATGTATTCGTTATCTGTGCACACCTACATACGCTGGTTGCTTAAAAGATGAACAAACAGATTATAGTGACTAATCTATTTGGTGAATTAAATTGTGGCTTCTTACAAATTGCACACAAGTAGACTAAGATTTTTTTTTTCTCCTCAAATAAACCCACAGGATGGCTTGCAGATACTTTGTCATGAATTTTCCATTGAGAATTTCTTATTTGTTTGCTCTTCACCTTATGTGATTACTTACCTATAATATGTATGAAAAAGGTTTCTTCCCACTGAATGGAAAGATCCAACCTTTTCAAATTTTACACAAACTTGGGTGTGAATGGGCAGGTAGAAAAAAAATACCTTTTGTTACTAGATTCATTTTAACAGCAAGGCTGGAATAATTTACCACTTTGTATGAAGAAAACTCAGGGCAGAGGTGTGGATGGCACATTGGAATTCAACAAAACCAAGCCAGTAAGTCCACATAGCTCTGCACTGCCAGGATTTTCTTGCTTGGAGTCCCTTCAATCTGAAGTAGAGAGTATTTGAGAGCTTCAGCAACCTATGAGATAGCATAACAGGTTCTTAAAAAGGTCTTAATATTCTGGTGAGTTTCATAATATTGATGTTTTACTTTAAACCCATTGAAAACTGTAAGAAGGGAAAAATGTCAGGTTTTATTTTAAATAATATTTCTAGCTCACATGATTTCAAAGAGTATTGGAAAAGTGATTTCAATGCATTTAGAGAACTAAAAAATTAAAACACCAATAATCTGTAAGCAGCGTCATCATTCCTGAGTGGAAGGAGAAACAGACCCAGTGGTTTTGAATGTTTGGAGCTGGCAGTAGTGGAAACCTCAGCAGTAGAGCTCTTTCACTTGTAGTACACCCCCAAAATATCAGAAAAATGGCATAATTCCACAATGTCATTTCAGGTGGAAGGAAACTAGAAGATCTCAGCGCAAATATCTTATTAAAACATTGGACCATACCTGTGCTATTTCAGTGCTGGTTTTATAATGCTGAGGTCATTGTGTGCAAAGCGATAGGAAATTTTCAGATTCCTTCTGTCACCTTCCTCATTGATTCCCAGCCCTGTCTCCAAGTTATTTCAGTCTTTGTTGGCCTTTTATAATATCTAATATTCAGGTTATGATTAAGCCCCAGCTAATGTTTCTCTGAGTAGAGTGCTTATCTCACTGAATATTTTGATTCTGTGTTTTAGAAAAGAGATGTCACTTCTTATTCTGGTTAAGGCAAGAGTTTCCCATTAACAAATCCCTCTGTTGTGACAATTGTATTTTTTTTTTTAGGATATTTTTAAGCATTAATATTAGTGCAATTAAAAAACAAAAACAAAAACAAAACCCCAAACCCACACAAAAACAAAAAGCAGTGGCTAAAATATTCCTCTGAGGTTTTTTATACTATATGAATACATGTATCAAATAAAGTTTCTTTTGTACTGGAATGTTTGTATGGGAACCACTGAGATGATATTGCAGCTGTTTGACTTCTTCAGGGCTATCCTTATGACAACAATGAAATATATGAAAAGACCTTATTGGCTACATGTATTTAAAACTATATGATAGATTTATCTTCTGTAAAAATATCTGTGTCATGATGTTATAGGATACTGTCTCTTTCTTGTTTAAAAAAAGAAAAATAAAAGCATCAGCCAACCTCTCTGAACACTGTTAGCTGTATGGTTTTGTATTGCAGTTCATTCATTGGTTAAGTGATAAGACCAAAGACTGACACTTCTGTTATATCTAACACTATGACACTGCTGCTTCTACTAATTCTGTTGGAATGAAGAGATGACAAGTTGTAATTACAACATGAAATTGTAACATAGTTTAGATTTGTGCAGCATTTTGAGCTGTAGATTTTTCACTTTTTTCCAGGATTTAAATTTTTTGTCAGTGTGGTGCAATTACATTACTGTTCATGCATACAAGGATCTTTTGGTGTTCCTAAGAAAATGAAAGAGTATGTATTCTAATATGTGCCAAGACACTGCTTGTTTCAACTGAAGTTATACTGTTTTACTTGCAAAATAGTGGCTTGACTGGATAACAGAATTCACTTTAAACCATTTTAGATGCAGAGGGCTATTAAGTCTGGATTGAAGATACAGCCATAAATATCCAGAAGGATTTAATGAAGGATGTTTTAAGATATTCAGTTGCTAACACCATGTATTTTGTTATGTTTTTTTTTTTTTAGATTCTAAATCATTGTCTAAATAAAAATAATAATAAAAAACCTAGTATGGAATTGTTATCAACTGATTCACTGTAATGCATATGTAAGTTGGATTGAAGTTTGAGTGTCATATTGTTTCAATCAGTCCTCAGTAAAGGTCTGCTAACTATTTTTGTTTTGTAACCTTCATGTTAATGATTTTCTTGTGTATATAAATATATATAAAAGATGGGAACTATTTTCTTACGCATACTATGCAATATGTTTGTAAAACTGCAATATTACCAAAATTGCAAAAGCTGTGCTTTTGTACTCTCTTGCTTTATGTAAAACAAATCTTTTTTCTATTTAATGGACTGTCTGTCTTATAGTTGTAGATAACATTATTCAAAAGCAGTACACTGAAACTTTAAGATTTTTTATTTTATTTTCCTTGAATTTTTTTGTTTTATGAAAATAGCAAGGTTTTGGAAGTTGGAAATTGCTTTTTCTTGGAAAGCTAGAACTTTTACAGCATGTAATTAACACAGTTTGAAATCCCTCCTGTACTTCTTTCATTTGGTCTTGCCATTTTAGTCTGGTGCTACTATATAACCGTAAATAAATGTGATACGTAAAATAAGACACATATCAGAACT